CTGGAATGTGCTGAGCGGCAGCTGCCACGTGAATCATTACACCTTGTCAGGCTGGGCCCAGGACTTTCAGACCCAAACCAGCTCAGGCTGGACTCAGGCAGAAGGGCAGCCTCCAGCCAGGGTCTCCAGGTGCGGGGGTGAGGTTCCAGAACCTGGCAGGGCCTCTTCCGCCCCATCCTTCCACGTCCTCACTCTCCGTGTCTGGACCCAGCCCTGGTTCAGACAGAGCTCATTTCACAGAACCACAGAGGAAGGCAGGTCATCCTGTCCACAACCCTCTGCCTCCGGGACCTGGAACTGCATAAGCAGACTCTGAGCCTGGGTGACACTGGCTGGTTTCACGCCAAGAACCCACATTCCAGTGGACGAGGAGGCAGATTCAGAGCGGCCATGGGGCTGCAGGGTTAGAACCAGGGCTGCGTAGAATGAGTGTCCCCACATGTCACCTGGTCGGGGAACACTGAGTACCCAGGACAGAGAGGTGAGAGGCCTTCTCAGGTCTCAGCTTTCCTGCCTGGGACCTGGGTATGAACCGCCCTCAGCTTCCATCTGATTTCTTCAGGTGCCCAAAACTTGAATGAAATCCTCATGGGGCTCTGTCCATACCTCACAGGGGCCTGAAATTTCTGAGATGTGGGAGAGGCCAGAAAGGGCAGACAGGGACACAGGAACAAATAGAAGGACAGTTGGCTGGAGACGGGCTTGGTGGAGCCAGGAGAGGACCCCTGAGGCACATCCACAGCAGAGGCCTGGGCACCTGGCAGGCACACCCATGGAGGTGGGGGAGGGCCCAGCTCAGGGTACCAAACACTGCTACCCTTGGACCTGCCTCTGCTCCCCCACCAGGGGTCTGGGACAAAGTCCTGGGCTGGTGCAGGGCTTAGTAAAAAATAATTAATTTTTCTTTTCAAGTGAAAGCTCTCACTCAAGCCTCTTCCTGTCCCTAGCAGCAACATCCTTGTTTAGGCCTGAACCATACAGAAGCCGCAAGGATGATCCATGGCCTCTCCTCCATGGCCAACCTGAGCCTGCTCTGAGTCCCCAGGCCCTACTTGGAAGGCCTTGTGGGCTCCAGGTGAGTGGGATCCAAGGTAACCCTGGGATCCGAACACAGCTGGGAGGGGCAAGACCATGGTACCCCATTGTGTGTGCGTGTGTGTGTGTGTGTGTGTGTGTGTACCCGTGTCGTGCTGTGGAGCAGACAAGGCATGCCTGCACAGAGATGCCTGTGGATCTGACATTGCTATAGCAGGGGGTCTCCTCCAGGCGCCCCAAGAGTGTTCCCTGCCTTGGACACAGCCTCCCAGCCCCCTGTGCCCCCAGCTTCCCTCCCTTTGCCTTCCTGAGAGGTGAGAAAACCAGGCTTCCTGCTGCAAGGGGAGGGGGCTGCCCGACCAGCTGCTGTGGGAGCCTCCAGTGACTCATCCGGGTGGGGGGTGTTTATGAGCAGCCGAAATGGCTGTAAAAGTGGCACCTCAGTTCACTTATGGCCTGGCCATCCCCTCCCCTACCAGCCTCTTGCCTTGAAAAGCTTCCAGAGGGGACTGGAACCAGAGAGAGGTCTGGGATTGAGGCTTGGTGGAAGCTCAGTCTGGGGTCAGGGTTCAGCCAGAGGTTAGAGGTCACACTGGGCTAAAGACCCACATGGGGTCGGGGTTGAGACTGGGATTCCAGCTGATTTTCGGGCTAGGGTTAGGGGATGAACTGTTGAGGGTTTGCAGGCCAATTTTCCCAGAGAGCCCCCAGAATGGAACAAGGGGTTTTCTGAGGGACCAAGTCCAGGCAGCAGAGCTGAGAGCTGAGCCTCTGTCTTTTCTTTTTGAGTTTGCTGCCCACCCTGGCCCTAGGGTCTATAGAGCTTGGCCACAGCCCTACTCATGGCAGCAGAGCCCAGTTTAGGGCCCCTGGACCAGAGTCCAGACCCTGCTCCAGTTCTGAGCTCTAGTGACTACCCTGGTTCTTCCTCCAAGGACCCCATCAGAGACGGGAGTCACCAAAGGGGACTCCCTACCCCCAACCAAGCCTTTTCAAATGCCACTGAAACTGACCTAAAACTAACCAGAAACTGACCCTTGGGGCCCCACCGGGATTGCCTGACAAAGAGGGCAGGCTGGCTCTGCTAGGCACTGGGGTGCTACCAGTTAATGTGTGACACACAACCTCCTCGGTGGCACTTTAACCAGAGACCAGGAGGTGCCTTAGGGGATCAACCTCAACAGGCATGTCTGGGGTGAGGCACATGGAGTCATGGCTAGAGGAACACCCTTAAGAGGCTCATAGCCATCAGACCCCTCTCTGCAGCTCTACCCACAGCCCACCCTGGCCCTCCCCAGTACAAATATTGTGTGTTTCCCAATCTCAAGCTTCCGGGTATCAGATCTGAGGACTCCCTACATTAGTCCCCAGTTGTACCCCAGTTGCCCCCATCCCTCCATGAATGTTTTTTTTTGTTTTTTTTTCCCCCCCCCCTATCACCACAGGGCAGGGGTGGTCATTAGAATGGATAGAAACAGAGACATAAAACCAAGACCATCAAAACATAACACTGAAGAACCACAAATGTTCTTTAGGTACCCACTCTGGGCACGTGGGCCTCTGTCCCTCTTCCCAAGAAACCCATACATCACAGGGGTAGCCCCCAAGTCACAGCACCCACCTGTGCCCCCTGCTAGTAGTGGAAAAGATGTGGTCTCGAGGAGGGAGGGATGTTCTTTACACCAGGCAAGAGAAGCGTGATCCCAGCAGAGTAAACGACAAAGGCAAGGACAGAGGAGTGAACATGGGGAGAAGGTCAGCTGTCTAGTGGACAGACAGTACCTATTGGGGAGAGTCACCTCAAACAGGCTGGTGCCTCCAACAGCATAGTCCTTAATCACCAGGGCAAGAAACTTGAGGGTAGTGGGGCAAAGAGAAGGGTGTGGCCACAGAGTCACGGAGAAAACAGCTGTGGGGCCAGTATGGGAGATGGGTGGATTTGTGCCTGGACAAGGATGGGCTGCCGGGAAAGCTGGCTGGAGCTGGATTCCAGTGACCTTAGGGGCTCGGCTTGCGGATCCATTCACATGGAGGGTAGGGGCCATCCCTGAGATGGAAGAGGGGGTGGTGCTGGTTTGGGGGCTCTGAGGAGCTCAATTTCCACAGGCTGAGTCTGGGGAGTCCACAGAGCCCATGGGTCTTACCCTCTGCAGCACTAAAACAGTAAAGTTAAAGTGCCCTTTGAATCAGCTGGTCAAGTCCCCGTTTTACAGATGAGGAAACTGAGGCCCAGACAGCAGGAAGTCGTCCTGCCCAGGATCCACAACTGGTAAGTGGATGGGCAGGGACCACCACTTAGCCCAGATGGTATCTCCAAGAGCCCCGACCACCACATGAGCTTGCTCCTGAGCATCCTTAAAGCTCTCTGCTCCAGGCATCCCGGGCCCTCCAAGCACCTCAGTTTCCCTGCCTGATCCTGAAAGGTGTGGGGCTGGGGGTCCGGGACCCCTTCCTCAGCGCTCCGGCGTCCCCTCCTGGCCCGGAGCTCGCAACCCCGCCCCCTCTGCACCCCACCCCACCCCCGCCCGCAAAGACGCCCCTGGCTCCTCCCCCAAGCCCAGGGTCCCCGGTGGACCCGAGTCCGCGAGGACGGTTTGGGGGTGTGAAGGGGTCGGGAGTGGGGGTCCCAGCTGAGCCCGGGGTCTCGCGGCTGGAGCCGCCCGGGGTGGAGCCCGGGGCGGAGCCGGAGAGGCCGGGCCGGCGTCTGCGAGGGTCGAGACTGGGGAGGGTGGGAGAGACGTGAGCCCCGAGCAGCGGGCAGGGGCAGGGCGGGGGCAGGGCGGGGGCAGGGCGGGGGCGGGTCCGAGCCCCGCGGGCCCACCCCCTCGGGGCTCCCGAGCTGGGGGTCCCCGCGCGGCCGCGGCGGGGCGGGGCGGGGCTGGCGGCCCGGAGCCTCCCCCGGGACCCCGGGCCCGCCCGCGCGCCGCGGCGGGGCGCCTCCCGCGAGGAGGCCCCGCTCCGGGCTCAGGCCCCTGGCCCTGGCCCCGGCCCCGGCAGGCCGACCAGAAAAAACCCCGTCTGTGCTTCCCGGAGAGGAGAACGGAGCGGCGGCTGCGTCCCGGGCGACGTGCCCGGGCCCCGACGTCCGAGCTCCCTCGGCCCCGTCCCCTGCACACTCACCCCCGCCGCCGGCGACCCGGGGCGCGGCCTCTGGAGGAGCGTCCCGGGGCAGGGGCAGCGGGCTCGGCCGGGCGGCTCGGCCCGGGCGGGGGCGGCGCGGGGCGCGGGGCGCGGGGCGCGGGGGGCGGGGGGCGGGGGCGAGGCCCGGGGAGCGCGCGGGGGGGCAGCGGCGCCCGGCCGCGGGGGCAGGGGAGCGGCAGACGCCGAGGCGAGGGACGCGCGCGGCGGGCGGCGGCTGCGAGCGGCGGCCGGGCGGGGGGCGCTGGAGGCCGGGCCGGCCGGAGGGCATCCCGAGAGCCCCATGAGGCGCCCCCGGGGCCGCGGACGGGGCGCTGTCCTGGGGAGGCTGTCGGGGGGTCCCCGACACCCATGGCTAGGCGGGGGCCGCGGCGGCGCGCTCGGAGTAAGTCGGGGTCGGGGCGGGGGGGGCGGGCGCCCGGCGGCGCGGGGGGGCGGGGGCGGCGTTGGGTTCGGGGCGGCTCCGGGCCTGGCCGGGGCCCCGGGCGGGCTGCTCCGTCTCGGTGTCAGTCGGCGGCGCCTCCTCGGAGCCCGGCGGAGCCGCCAGCCCCGTGCCGCTCGGCTCCGTGGCTTTTTTGGAAACTTGCAACTGTTTTCGTAGAGAGAGAGAGAGAGAAGGGGGAGGGGAGGGAGGGAGCGAGGGAGTGACCGAAACGGAGCTCGGGGCTGCTGCAAGAACGGAGGCCAAGGCTGGGGGAGCTGGAGACGGACGGACAGGCCGACAGGCAGAGCGTCCGGCCGCGGGCGTGCTCCGGCGGCGCGGGCGCGGGCGGGGGCGCGGGCGGGGGCGCGGGCGGGGGCGCGGGCGCGGGCGCGGGCGGGGCCCCGGCCCGGGATGCGGAGAGGGCTCGGGAGGCAGCCGCAGGCACGATGGGGATCCGAGGGGGGCTAAGGGGCACGCAGCTGGCGGCCGGAGCACCGAACGGCTCAGCGTCGCTGCAAAGTTAGGATCGCGTCCCTAAACTGCACGCCCCGAGCGACTCGAAACGCGCCCCCCGCCCCGCCCCGCCCCCTCCCCTCCCCGCCCGGGGCTCGCCGCCGAGCTAAAAATAACAGCCCGGTTCGCCCCCCGCAGACCGCGACCCCAACCCCTCCCCCGACCCCTCCCCCACTGGGCGTGGGGCGAAGCCACAGCTCCCAGTTCCCCAAAAGAAAAAAAAAAGAAAGAAAAGGCGGCGCGGGGGGGGGGGGGCGGGGGGCGGGCCGGGGGCGGGGGGCCCGGCCATATGGATGTGATTTCTCCGCTCCGAGGCAGACGGGCAGCTCCGCAGCGCTCGGCGCCCGCCCGCCGCCCGCCCGGCCCCCGGCTGCCTCCCTTCCTCCCTCCCTCTCTTTCTCCCTTGCGCTCGCTCGCTCGCTCGCCCTCGGCGCATGGGCCCCGCGCCGGGCCCCGGGGCCTCGGGCCGCCTGGCCTCCGGGGTCCCCTAGGCCCGGGCGTGGGCGGGGCAGCCCGGCCTGACGCAGCTCTGTACCCCACCACCACCACCACCAGGGCCGGCGGCGGCGGCTGCCCCGAGGGACGGGGCCCTAGGCGGCGGCGATGGGGGCCGTCCGGATCGCGCCCGGCCTGGCGCTGCTGCTCTGCTGCCCGGTGCTCAGCTCCGCGTACGCGCTGGTAAGTCCCTCGCCGGCACTCGGGGACAGGCTGCGGGCTTGCTCTGCGGTGCCTGGGGTGGGTCCAGGGCGCAGAGTCTTGGGTTCCCTGGGCAATCTGAACTTTGGACCAACGGCCCCTCTGACCCCAGATCCCCGGTGCCTGCTGTCTCTGGGGTGTCTGGCCTCGGCTCCAGATGGCTCCCATCTCCTTACGGCTGAAGCTTGGGTTTGGGGTCCCAGGTCTGGAACTCTGTGGTTGGGGTTCTTCTATCCTCTGCTTCTGTGAGCTCCACTGCTCTGGTTGCGTCGCCTTCGGGGATGACAGTGTGATCTAGCAGTAGACCTGGCTTTGGCCCTGATCGAGGGTCCCACAGATTTGTTCCAGGGCCTCTGTTTTCTGCAAGTTTTGTTTGCGATCCTGGATACGGGGCTGTGGATCTGAGGTCAGAATCCCCTAGGTTAGGGGTAGGATTTAGGGGTCTCCTCCAGCTCTCGCAATCGCATGCACACACGCAGACGCTCTTGCCCAGGGAGGCGAGTGTGATGTGGCCCGGAGGAAGGATGGAGGTCCTCTGAAGGAGACCACCCTCACAGGACACTCCTCCAGAAGAAACATGCTGGAGGGGGAGTCTGGTGAGTGAGGGACCCCCATCCTGAGAGCAGAGACCAAGAGGAGACCAGAGAGAGAGAGAGAAGAGGCAGGTTGGGAGATAAGCAAGAGAGAGAGAAGAGAGACAAAGGGGGTAGAGATGAGAGCTCCCCAGAGCAGAAGGAGTAGATAGACCAAGAATAGCAGAGAAAAGGAGAGACTGGCAGAGGCTGGGCGGGGGGGGGGGGGGGGGGAGCATCCTCCCCCTTCTGGGCCAGAGATGGGGGGCCAGGACCCGGGGAGTAGTCGATCCCACAGCAGCCCTGTCTCACAGGACTAGCCCGTTGCTGAGGAGGCTGTCTGCCTGTGTGTCCGGCTCCAAGGCCCCTGCTGCCTCCCCAGTACCTCCCAGGTGGGCATGTGCCTTCTAGAGAAACAGGCAGGCAGGCAGGCAGGCAGCCACCTTCTCCTGACCAGCTCCCTCTCTACCCGGGAAGAACCTTAGGCGGGAAGGCAGGAGCTCTGGGAGTCCTCCAGCCCTGCCTAAGGCCCGCGGGACCTGGGGCTATCCTCCACACCTTCTGCAAAAAACTAGCGAGAAACATTTGCCTAAGAATCCCCTGATTTAAGTGAGGCTCTCTTCTCCTGGGGTGGGGGGGCGGAGGGGGGCCCTCAGCATGACAAAACCCATTCCCCCCCCCCCTGCCCATGCCCTCATGACTCTGGCTCCCCAAAGCCAGAAACCTCACCCCATACGAGAACTTATAGATGGGGAAGTCAAGGCCATTTACAAGAAATAAATGCCGGACCGGACCCAATTCCCCACCCTCCCCCTTGGGCCAGGCGTGCCTTCCCCACCACCGTCCCTTCCAGAGTGTGTGCCGAGCCAGCCGCAATCTGCGGGTGCTCAGCTCCGGTGCACATCCCTGGGGTAGACAGGATGATGGACGTGAGGGTGCTGAGAGTCGTTTGTTTGTCAGAGCGGGACCGCTGGGACTCTGGGCAGGCTGTTCTCTAGATCCGGGTGAGCCTGTGGCTGAGTCGTGTGTGAACACATGTGTCCGAAGCTGTGGGTCTGCACATGACTTGCAGGGGCATAGTCGTGCACACGCGTGTGTGTGTGTGCACTTGTGAGCACATGTGCACCCAGGTCTAGTTCTTATTTTTCATTTAATCAATGCTTTTTTAGTGCTTTCTACTCGCCAGACACTGTCCTAAGCACTTTACGGTATTAATTAGTTTTAATCTTTCCAACAACCCTAGAAAAAAAGGTTTTGTTATTGTTCCCATTTTTAAAATAATCTGAATCACGAAATCAGTAGGACCATCTTTTTTCACGTGCCAATCTATTGCCAAGCCCCGTGTCTCTATGGGAAGGCGGTAACGGGTGCCCAGAGCCCCACACTGATTTCTGGGGAAGCTGAGGCACATGCAGAGAATTTGCCTGGCTTAGCCCTGGGGCAGGTCTGAGGGCAGGGCAGGAGGGGTGCCATGGCTGGATCTGCCCTGAGACCTTTTGGAGACATCCGTGGCTGGACACTGAGGCCATGGGCCTTCCCTGGTTTTAGGGCTGGAGGATGTGGCTCAAAGATCACCCAATCCCCTGTAGGCCCCCTGGGCTCAGCTGGAGCCAGTGAGACACTGCCAGCCTGCCAGCTTCCTCTTTTGAACCCGGGGACTGCCCTTCCCGTCCACATCTGTGCTGATGCCCACCAAGTCCACTGAACTCAGCTGGTGGCCTCTGTTGCCAGACCTGTGTACTGCCTGCCCAGCCAGCCCCGGGAGCAGGCTCCCGTCTCCAGGGACCTCGGGGGCTGGGGGATCAAAAAGCATCCCACCGGGAGGAAAGGGCTGTGGCCAGACTCAGCTGGTCCATTTTGTCCTTACAGAGAATAGTAACTGTGTGCTGGGGGCCAAACGGAGTGAATTTTGAAGGAAGGGACGGACCCACAGATGTGAGTAGGGGGCAAAGGGATGGTGTTAGCCTTGGGGACGCCTCATCCTGGGGACGCCCTGAACTTGCATACATGTGAAGGAGAAACTGCCATGGCAGAGGCCGCAGGTCAACATGGGCCTCGAGCATAGAGATGTGACCTCGGGGTCAGGCACAGGAGGGACTGTGGTGGCTGGGGGGTTAGGCCCCAGCCTGCTCTAGGGCCAGTGTGGCCATGGCCCATCTTTTAAAGACCAGAAGGAACCACCATGTATTGAACAATGACTGTCCTCCAATGCTGAGCTAGAAACTGTCACAAATGTTTTCTTATTCCGTCCCGTTCACCCACCCATTTTATGGGAAAGGGTCCTGAGGTTCACGCAGTGAGTCTGTGCCAGAGGTGGGACTTGAACCCAGGTCTTCAGACTCCCGTGCTGAGCTTCTTCCTCCAAAGCAAGGTGAGGGATGTGCTGACAGGAGATCCCCGTGTCCTATGGTGGGTTTTTAAAATTTTTCCTCCTTTTCATTTTTTTCTTCTTTCTTTCTCTGTTTCTCTGTTCCTTTCTTTCTTTCCTTCTTTCATAAAATCCTTCTATTTTTTTGCTTGTACTTTCTTATGTTTAATTGAACTAATCCTTGAATATGTTCTTTCTTATAAAAGAGTCACATAACACAGATTAAACAAAATTCATTCTTGATGACTCCCGAGTCCCAGTGCTCTTCAAGAGAAAACCATTTTTAACAGTCTGTGTGGGGGATGTCCTCCCAGACCTTTGTCTGTTTATTTCCAAAAGATAACCTTTTTGTGTACGTATAAAGCAGAGTTTTGTTCTGTCAGTTTTCTGCTTGTTGTTAAATGAGTGGTATCTGTAGGTAAAGCTCTGCTGTGTACATTTTTTTACTTAAGAGGTGTATCTCGGAGATCTTCTTGTCAGTAAATATAAACCTATTATTTTAATGGTGCATAGTATTCCAAAACCTAGGATTCATTAGCAGCTCCTAGAAATGTACATTTAGATCTTTTCTGCATAGTTTTTGTGTGTGCGTGTGTGATTCCAGACAGTGGCAGGGAAGCTCCTTGAAATGCCCTCTTATGTCCCTGTGTGACCATTTCCCTGTAGGGTATTTCTAGATTCTTCATTGCTGGGTCTGAGCACATGCACGTTTCTTTTCCTTTTTTTTTTTTTTTTTTTTTTTTAAGACATGGCCAAACTGCCCTCTAGAAAGCCTGTGCCAGTTTCTATGCACAATACCAGAAGTGACCAGGAGTGTCTCTCTCCCACTCCCTCTGTCTCATAGGGTAGTTATGAAGATTTTCACCTTTGCCATTCTGATAGGTGAAAAATGGTGTCTCTTGTCCTTTTAATTTGCCAATTACCCATGAGTTTTGGACTTTGCATTGGTCTATTGTTCCTCTTCTAAGAGCTTGTTCAGAGCCATTACTCATCTTTCTATGGGTTATTTGTCTTTTTTGTATTGATTTGTTGAGGCTTTTTATATCACCTGCCCTTAAACACCCCACACACACCCCAGCTCTGGGAAGGGCCTGTGGACAGAGCAGGAGGAGGGGGGCCGAGCCCTCCCGGGAACTTGGGTTTTCTTCGGAATGTTTTAATGAGGCGTCAAGCTGCCTCCCCCAGATTCCTGTTGTGGGCCTTCTGGGGACACTCCCTGGTCCAGCCACCACATCAGGAAGGCAGCTCTTGCAGGGAGTGAGTCCCTAGGAAAAGGAAAGGGTGGGATGGGGGTTTTGCAGACCCTTGATATTGTCTGCCAAAGATGGTGTGACAGGGAGAGAGGGCAGTTTCGCTCAGATTTTCAAAGATGTCAGAAACCTCTATACCCTAAAGAACCCCAACTCTAGGAACTGGCCTTGCATGGAGGTGAGACCTGGTGGGATCCTATTCTGCTGACCAGGCGTACGGTTAGGCTAGGCCATGCTATCCTTCTGGGCCTTGGTACTGCAGGCCAGGTAGAGGCCGCCTGTGAAGATCCACTGGGTCCAGCAGCCAACTCCGCCATCCCAGGCTCCATCCCACCGCCTGCCCTGAAGGCGTCCACGCTGGCCAGGATGAGAGGCGTCACAGTGCCTCCCCCCGGCCCCTCCCAGCCCCGAACACAGGCAGCCTGTTCAGGAAGGCCTGGAGAGGGGGAGGAAAAGTCAGCACTTGTCAGCGGTGGCGGGGCAGGAGTGTCCCCGGCAGGGAGCCCGTCCCAGCCTGCTCGGGCCAGCCGGACAGACAGAGGGCAGCAAGGGGCGGGGAGCAATCCCTGGCCAGCTGGCACGGGATACATCGATGGGTGCCAGCACAGGTCCCAGTAGTGGAACCTGGAGAGGAGATGCAGGAAGGCCAGGAGGTCACGAGGGGGTCTCCTGCGAGCCAAAGTTTTCTCCTTCTGGATTTTCTGGAGGTACCACTCTCCTCACTCCTAACACCAGGGTGCAACCGTCCTCTGTCCCATTAGAGCTGAGCACCAAATGCCATCACCAGCACCAGGGCCATGTGATCCTGTCTGCCCCCACCCCAGAATTCCCTTTGTGCAGGCTGCCTCAAAGGCTCTGCTAGGAAGCACTTGCTTGATGCAGCAGAAGACACAGCCCAAGAGGACTCTGGAAAGCTGGGACGGAAGCTCGCACTCGGGCATCCATGGAAATGGGTGCTTCGTCCAGGGTTGCTGCTTCGGGGTCCAGCAGACTGGCCCTCTTCTTTTTAACTGCGACTCTGAGCCTTGATGTCCCCATATGTAAGATGGGGCTGTGGTAGAAGGTAAAGGAGGTGTGGCCAAAACTCCAGGGGCACTGGCAGGTGCCAGTGGGCAGAGGGCCTGAATGGACACCAACAGGCAGGTTTGTTTACTCCAGAGGAGAGCAGGAAGCCAACAGCCACCTTCCCCCAGGGGACCAGGCTGAACCAGGGTGGGTGGATGGATGAGATGACCCAAGAGGGCATCTCCAGGCTGACGCCACTCCATGGAAGAAGCCCCTTTCCCAAAGGCAGAGGTGTAGGCAGCTGGAGAAGTAGCCCTTGTATTCCTTCCTTCGTTTTGCCTGGAGGAAAATGTAGGCATGTCTGGGATCACAGACAGCAAATGTGTGGAATTTGGCAGTAAGGAGAGAAACTGAGAGGAGTGGCCCTCATTTGGTCAGTGGCATGGAACTGGCTCTCTCCACCACCACTGTCACCGTCACACCTCCATCACCATCACCAGCCTTGATGCTGTCTCCTCCCTGTCCTCACCTCCACCCGCACTGCCGCCACCACTCCCATCCCCAACTCCTGACACACCGATCGATTGTTCCTCAGTGGAGCTTCCTGCAAGGTAGAAGGAGCTGCTTGCCCCCCAGGGGAGGGGTAATGAGCAGATGGCTTTTCTCTTCGTCCGGGCTTCAGGAAATGAGAAACACATCCGGGCCTCTTGACCACACACTACTCTCTCCCTGGGACAGCAGCTTCTATGTTTGTAAATAACAGACTGGCTTCCAGCCTCCACCTGTACCCTGCCTGGAGCCCCACAAACACCAGCTCATTGCTCCCAGGATGTCTCTCTCCCTACTCCTCTCAGCTCAGGGCTGAGGTCAGGGCATCACCCCACCCACCCCCTGCATGTTCACAAAATGCACATCGTGCACACATGTGTACACAGGAAGGCTCTGTGTTGGGAGGTTCAACATGGGGGGGTGTGCCAAGGCGAGGGACACTGAAGCCAAGCCCCAGGGTGGTTAAGTCAGGGGAAGTCAGCCCTAACACGAGACCCTAAGAGGGATGTGGGGGGGGGGGATTCGGGACACCCGGTGCCAGGGCTTGGTGGCCCCATCAGTTAGTGGGTGATGCCTGGCCATGATCCAGCGCTGGCTCCCTCACCTCTTGCTCCTGAAACCCAAGATCTGCAGACTCTATGTATCTAAACTGATGCACCTCTGAGTCCTTCACTCCAGGAGCTGGGCCAGAAAGATCTGAACTCTGCAACGGAAGGGGAAGAGGGGAAAGTTGGGGAGAGGGAGCAGCAGACAGAATCACCGGGCCAGGAGGGGAATCAGAGCTGCACTTTCCCTTCCACCCCCAGGACATAAAGCTTCCAGTTGGGGCAGAGGCAGACGAAGGGTCCTCCTGCCTGCCCCCCAACCAAGCCCAGGCTTTCTGGGAGAGGCGGAGTGCTGGCAGTGATCTGGGCTCTTACTATGAGTCCAGGCTGGATCACCCCAAAAGCTCATCACACACCACATCACCCAGTGGGCCTTCCTGTATTCCCTGCTCTTCACCCTCCTGGAGTCGCACCTCCCATCCACCCCTCACTGTAGCCCCCTAGACTTACTCATGTACCCGATCTCCCCCTGCCACTCTACGTCCCCAGCCTGGGGCCACCCTCAATGCCCAGCAGCAGGGGTGCCCGTAACCAGAGTGGGAGAGCCATGATTTGGTGCTGCTGCTGCTAATGGGAGCAATTAGAGCAACCAGTTTTGCCCCGACCCCACCCACACCCGGGCTCTCCACGCAGTACCGCACTAAATCCTCACCGACAGCCCAATCGTCTTTCTGATCACAGGGGTTAAGCAACTTTCCTAGACGCAGAGCCAGTCAGTGGTGGAGGTGCGATTCAAGCTCCTGTGCTGGCCAGCAGAATCTCCTTGGGTGAGGAGAGGGTGCAGCTGGAGGGAGGGGCAAACGAGGGTGTTGCAGGCGGGGGAGCTGCACGCAAGGCAAGTGAAGTGAACTTGGTGTGGAACTGCCTTCCTTGCCCTGGGTTGGTGCTTCCTTGACTCTGGCTTGGATTCCTCTTGCTGCAGTGGCAGTCAGAGAAATGGGGCCTATAGGTTCAGGGAGTCCAGGGTGGGGGCACCATCCCTGTGGATGAATGGAGGAGTTTGAGGGCCATGGAGTGCTGGAGACACATGCCTTCCTTTCTCCCAGGCATTCCCAGCCCCGCCATGGAAACCAGACTCCAGAGACGAGGGGATGCCTCTTGGCCACAGAGAGGGAAAAGCCAACAGCAATAGGTGGGGGCTGAGCAGAGCACGTGTTAGTCCCTGGCCATGGCCCAGCTAGCACACCTGTCGGTCAGTCTGCCAAATGGGCAGTTTTCCACCCATGTCAGCCAGCCCTCCGTCACATCAGCAGGCTAGTCTGTCTGTTGGGAGGGCTGGTGTGCCAGTCTTTGGGGACTGATGGATACCTCAGTCACTCGGGAGCTAGAAAAAATAAAAAAATACAGCGCGGCATCTGTCTTGAGAGAGATGGAGGTGGGGGCTGGGGTGTGGTTAGGGAGTAAGGATAAGACAGTGCTTAAGGGGCTGGGGGCAATAATGGTGATGGCAGTGATGGTGCTCATGTCACCTTCAGTGGTGATGGTGATAGTGGTGACGCAGATGGTGGTGATCCTGGTGGTGGCGGTGTTGGTCATGGTGGGAGTAGGGCCGGTGGTGGTGATGGTAATGAGGTCCTCACCTCAGTCGGGACGGTGCTCGTGGTGGTGGTGGTGGTGGTGGTGGTGGTGGTGGTGATGGGGGATGGTGACGGTCGTGGTGGTGTCATTGGTGAAGGTGGTGGCGGCTCTTGGTGGAGGTACTAGTTGTAGTGATGGCAACAGTAGCGAAAGGGTGCGATAATGGGTTGGGGTGAGCGGGGCAGCCCCGCAGGGAGCCCCAATGCCAGACGCACAGAGAAAACCTGAGGTCAATCTTGGATCCTCTGGACTCCGGGCAGGTCGTCCTGCCTCAAGCCGCCTCCTGCGAGGCCGCTTCTGCCCCAGTCGGCGGCGCTGGGCGGGGAGGCTGCAGAGCCGGGAGGGGAGAGGAGGGAGCACGTCGGAATGTGCTCCGGCCTTCCTGGGGTGGGGGCGGGGGGCATGGCAGGGGCCCTGCTGAGGTCGCAGGCTCCCGCGGACAGAGGAAGCACAGACACCCGACAGACGCCCGCTGTTCACACGCGTGTCCCCAGCCCCCGAGGCTCGCGCCCCAGGTGTGCATGCGGGACGGTGCCCACGCAGAGCGCACGGGGCCGCACGGGGCCGCACGGGGCCGGGGCCGGGGCCGCACGGGGCCGGGGCTCGCCGCTGGCTGCTCGCGCTCGAGCGCACGGCCGGGAGCGGAGCGCGGTCCGCCCGACGCCGCGCACGCGCACACACGCGCACACACGCGCACACGCGCGCACGCGCCGCCGCTAAGTGAAAGCAGCGGCCGCCGAGCCGGGCCGAGCCCACTGGAGACTCCTCGGCCCTGGGAGCCCCTGCAGCTGCCGCCGAGAGACGCGGTCAAGTAACCGCCCCCCGCAGCCAGGCTCCCCGCCCCGCCCCGCCCCGGCCGCCGCCCCCCCCCCGCCCCTTCCCCAGCGCGCCGCCCCCTGGCTCGGCGCCGGGCGACGCTGCGCTCGCAGGGGCCCTGGGGCGTCCGAGGGCCGAGGGGCGGCAGCTCTGCCTGCTGCGGGGCTGAGGGGCCAGGTTCCGCCCTGCGGGGTCAGGGCACGCAGCCCTGCCCTGGGGCCTAAGGGGACGGACGCGTCAGACTTGAGCGGGAGGGGGACGCGAGCCACTACTAATCTCTGTGGGTCGCCCTCGCCCTCGTGGCAGTGCTGGGCTTGGTCGCCCGGAGCATTCCCCAGGGCAGCACGCTGCCTTTGCTCTGACCCTCCTGGGACCCTAAGAGGAACACAGGTTCAGCCCCCAGATGCCCATGAAGTTCCGGTTCTCTTCCTCAAAATGATGCCAAGTATCCCAGTGGGTGGCAGCCAATGCCCAGGGTGAGCAGGTCGGAAGGAAGAGGAGGAAGCAAAGGCCCGCTGGCACCGTCAGAACTCGGGGTCTGCTGGGCTAAAGGGCCTTCCAGATAAGCAGTGGGCTGTGGGTGACTCTCGCTCACAGGCCACACAGGAGTGCCCGCCCAACCGGACCACTTGCCAGCAGTTCCTCTGACCTCTGGCTCTTGAGATCTCGAGGGTGGGAGCAGCTGAGGCACTCACCATTCACTGGGGAAAGCACTGACTGGGGTGAGGGCCAGGATGGAAATTGGTGACTCCCAAGGTCCCCCAGGGCACCAGGGCTTGAAAGAATCCAGGCCTGGTTTATATCCCCAGAGTTCACCACTCCTTATCCACCCCCTCTCCCCACTAGGTCCCCCACAGACAGGATCTTGTGAGGATACATCCTGGGACATTCCAGTCCCTTTCCCTGTACCCTTGGGGAACAGACTGGACCGAGAGTATCAGTGGCTGCAGCCCACAGGGTTACTAGCGAGCAGGCAGGGGACATCCCCCCTCCTCCCTCTTTTATCCGTCAGAGCCAAAGCTTCCCATCGGTAAAGTGGGAGCTACATAAGGCAGAGTTCCCAAATTCTAGACTCAGGGTCTTTGGAAAGGCGGGACTCCCTCAGAGAGGTTGGGATGATTGTGGGACCTGCTACTGGGTTGGGAAGTCCTGCCTGCAGTCTGACGTTCAACTTGGTAGGTGGATGCAGATGACGTCATGACCAAAGAGGAGCAGATCTTCCTGCTGCACCGCGCCCAGGCCCAGTGCCAGAAGCGGCTCAAAGAAGTCCTGCAGAGGCCAGGTGGGGGCGTAGTCCTGTGAGGCACGGCCAAAGAAAGAGGGTCTGGGGGCGAGGTCAGGAGAAGCGGGGGAGGAGCCCAAGGCAGGTGAGAGCCTAGGATGCAGAACCACGGGGCAGCAGGGGAGAGGGCTTCCAGTTAAAGGGAGGGTCAGGCCCAAGCGAGGTGGGTCAGTTGTGATCAAAGTCAGCAGGCTGAAATGCAGAGCCTTCCCGCCCAGGGTGGGATTAGGGCAGTAGGAAGGCAGCCACAGCCTAAATCATCCCTAACAGGCTTAGCCCTGGCAGGGCACACCAGGATCAGGAGCAGAGTAGGATGCCAAACCCCACTGGGGTGCACTGGGACAGCTTCCTGGAGGAGGAGGTATCCAAGGCAGGTCCACAAGAATAAGTAGATCTTTGAAGGCCACCTGGTCAGAGGACAAGGCTAAGGTGTCCAGGGTCAGGAGAATCAAGGGTCCACGGGACTGGATGGGGAGAAGGATAGAGGGTAGGGATGGGTATCTATGACTCTGAATCATGGTCTCTGTCCAGGAGAGGGGGTTTGACATGGGGTCGGCGGGCCTTCTGCGCACCAGCACCGCATCTTCGGGGACCCCTGCCAAGGTCAAGGTGGGAGGGGCACTCGCCTGCCTTCCCAGTTCCTGCCTCATCTCCAGCTAATCTCTTCCCTGAGTCTACTTCCTGGAAAGCGTTGCTGGGAGCTCATTAGTAGGCATTCAGGCCTCTGCTGCCTGTCTGATTAATCTCATCAACCTGGAAGAGGCCCAGACCCCCCTGACTGGCCGAGGGGAACTGTTTCCTGTCTGGAGCTGGCCCCTACACTGCTAGGGACCGAAGCACACACAGTGACACACACTGTCGCATGTGGGCTTTGCTCACAGTCACAGGGATTTACATGGTCTGTGCAGTCCCAGCCCTGTCCATACTGGCTCCTCTGGTGGCTCTTTAGTCCCCTGCCCCAATCACATCAGGGTCTGGGGATCAGATGCCCACCCCCCCACCCTGGGTCCTAGTGCTTTACCCAGTTGAAGCCCAGGGGCACCTAACCCCCGATGGCGCCTCATCCTGATGGAGCTCCTCTCCTCCTGCTCCGCTTCATCCTGCTGCCCCCCCCCCCACTAACGCTCCAGGGTCAGGCAGGATAACGGGCACAGCCACTCCATCCCAGTCTGGGGGTCCGCACTCAGCTTCGCACTGCTGCCACAAACCCTGACATGGGAGGGCCCAGGTAACTGCAGGGACACAGGTCAGATAATGAGGGAGACTTTGCAGCGAGGTAGAGACCTGGAGCAGCAGGAGCAGGTGCCTGAACACCCTTGACAACTGCACACTCTTGCTCATGGCGTCCACACCGCCAGCTTCCTGAGCTGCACGTGCTCCAGCCAGCCTTCATTTTCACTGTTTAACCTCCACGGACATCACCCCTACTGTCCACTTTTGTCCTGCGCCCCCTGGTGGGAGTCTTGTCCTCCTGCACAGGCTCTGGCTCCCGCTCCTGGGTCGGAGGACAGGACCTCTGCCCAAGTCTTATCCACACTTACTGCTCAACCCACTAGTTGATCCCACACCCACATGGTGTTCGCTCCTGTTTGAACCTCCTGTTGACAGTCTCCATGCTCTCTGCTTACTTCTGCACCTGGCGAGTGCTCTACAGTTTGTAAAGCACTCTCACCTCTTACCTCAGCTCTCCCAACAGCCTGGGCTGTCAGCAGGGCAGGGATCAACCCCACTGTACAAAGGGGATCCCTCTAAGGCAGGAAGGTACCTGGGTCCCCTGCCATAGCACAGTTCGTTGACAGCTATGACTGCTCTGATTTCTCCAGCTGACATAATGGAATCAGACAAAGGATGGGCTTCTGCATCCACATCAGGGAAGCCTAAGAAAGAGAAGGCATCTGGGAAGCTCTACCCTGAGTCCGAGGAGGACAAGGAGGTGCCCACTGGCAGCAGGCACCGAGGTATGTCTGTGTGTCCATCCGAGACTGGCTGAGGCCCGCCCACCCCACGGCTCTATCCCCTTTCGGTGAGCTCATGCTCTTGAGCTCTTTTGGAAAGGCATAGGCTGTGGCCCGCTCCCCAGGAAAGCAGGGGAGGAGCTGGGAGGACACAGAGCCCAGGAGGGATCATGCAGAGGGGGCTGGACCACTGGGAGATTTGGGCAGAGAACTTGCTCCGCACTACCCCGGGGTGGGGGACCCTGGGCTGTGGCCCCTCCTGTGGAGAGAGATGACAGAGAACCTGGGAGACAGAGGGGCAAGGAGAGATACAAAGACCGAGGCAGAGAGGGTACCAGGAGGCGTAAACTGAGACTGGGACCCAGTGTGTCAGAAGAGGGCGCACCAAAACACATAGAGTGGTGGGCCATAGACACAGAGCCGGAGAGGAGGGTGGCTGGGAGCAGCGGGGCCTGAGACAGTGGGCAGAGGAGGGAAGAAGAGAGGGAGGGAGATGCAGGGCTGTGTTGTCCCTCAGGAAGGTAAGGAGAGACAAACTCAGAGCCCAGGCTGCAGCCACAGGGCCGGTTTGAACCGGCTGGGTGGGCAGCAGATTCCAGATGGGCCACATCTGGGAGGCTGTGGTCACCCTGTGGCTCCCCAGGGACCAGAGGGAATTGTGGGCCTGGCCAGGCGGGGCTGGGAATATGGTGCCCAGGACAGAGAGCCTTTCACCAAGCTGGGGTGGGTCCAGCCATCAAGGCAGCCTTCCAGGATGGCTGGAGAGTCCTGTGGTTGGAGCCCTGCAGGGGGAAAGAAGGGAACTAGGGGGGAAGAAAGTGGAAGATTCAGAGGCTGGGGACCCTCCAAGGTCACTTAGTATCTCTGCTGTGAGGCTGGAACCCCAAAGTAGGATATGTCACCCTGTCTCGAATGCCACAATTAGCATGTGGATTTGGGGGAGTATACCTCCCCCTACAAATGATCATTGGAGTCTGATAGCAGGTGCTTAGGGTGGTCTGGGATGGTGGTGGAAGCACAGGCTGATATGGTCAATCCCAGCTACCCAGTGAAGAAACTGGAACGCAAAGAGGGTGGACACCTGCATGAGGTCAGCAGTTGTTTGGGAGTCCAGCTGGCACAGCTAGACCTCCTGCCTCCCGTCCATGGTTTCTGGACAGGGGTCCCACGGAAAACATTTTCAACTAAGGGAGTTAGTCTGGGCACTTGCCCTTCTCCAGAGACACCTGGAGGTGGGACCAAAAGCAGAGGAAAAAGAGACAGGCCTGGCCAGGGGCTGAGTACCTGAGGAGGGCCCTAAGCTATACTTGCCTCTCTTGGTCTCCACCAGCCAATCTAGGAAATAGGGCCAGTGCCAGTACCCGCACGCAGGGGCTGTAGGTGAATTCTATGAGGCCAGGGATTCAATTCTATGTAGGACACAGTAGGTAGTAAGGCTCAATGCATTCTCTCTAGAACGCTCCAGGCCTGAGTTCTCCAGTCCTGGGGCACACCTGTCCCTGAGGGAGCCAACGACCACAGGTGTGTTCATTCTTCTGGGTCACTAACCATGGACTTGACTGGTGTCCCCCACCCTGTCTGTCTGTCTCTGTGGGCACAGGGCGCCCCTGCCTGCCCGAGTGGGACCACATCCTTTGCTGGCCGCTGGGGGCACCAGGTGAGGTGGTGGCTGTGCCCTGTCCCGACTACATTTATGACTTCAATCACAAAGGTAAGGCCGGCTGGAGTAGGGCAGGGACCACAGGGAGAGACTGGGAGCTCAGGGTCCCAGACCTCTCTGCATATGCTGACCCTTCCCGTGGACCTGCAGGCCATGCCTACCGTCGCTGTGACCGCAATGGCAGCTGGGAGCTGGTGCCTGGACACAACCGGACATGGGCCAACTACAGCGAGTGTGTCAAGTTCCTGACCAACGAGACTCGTGAACGGGTGCGAGTTTTCCCTTTCCCCACCCCATCAGGGGGTGATCTGGATAAGGCCACCCCCACCCCTTTGGTGACCCCTGAGCGAGCCTTGAGTCCCGGGGCGCTGACTGTGTGTTCCCCATGCACACAGGAGGTATTTGACCGCCTGGGCATGATCTACACCGTGGGCTACTCCGTATCGCTGGCCTCCCTCACCGTGGCCGTGCTCATCCTGGCCTACTTCAGGTGGGCGGGGCCGGGGCGGACCGGGGTAGCACCTTCCCTCTGCGCACCCCCCCCCCCCGACACACCCCCGCATGTCCCCGGGCCCCCACCCACGGTGTTGTCGCGCCCTGCAGGCGGCTGCACTGCACACGCAACTACATCCACATGCACCTGTTCCTGTCCTTCATGCTTCGCGCCGTGAGCATCTTCGTCAAGGACGCGGTGCTCTACTCGGGCGCCACGCTCGATGAGGCCGAGCGCCTCACCGAGGAAGAGCTGCGCGCCATCGCCCAGGCACCCCCGCCGCCCACCGCCGCCGCCGGCTACGTGAGTGCCCCCCCCCACCCCCAGCCACCCCGGGCACCTCCAGCTCTGCACACCCCCCCGCCCCTGTCTCCTGCTACCGCAGGTCTGGCATCACCGTCATCGTCGTGGGCCCGCTCACAGCCACCCCACACCCCACCGTGTCCCTAGCCCAGCCTCAGCCCTGCTGCCCGCCCGCCCGTTCAGCCAAGGACTTTGTGATTGTCCCCCTCCCGCCCCTTTCATCAACCCTCCCGCCTCTGCCCAGCACCCCACAGCCACCCCACCTCTTCACCTTGGCCCCTGCCCCTGTCCTGAGTGCCCTCCTGACCCTGGCAACATCCTCCCCCACCCCCGCCCCCTGCTCCTCAGCTGCGCCCTTGCCCTGGCCCTTGACCAGAGCCTGGCCCTTCGTCGGCCAGCACCACTTGTCCGAGCTCATCCCCTAGCCCATCCCCGACTTCCCCAGATGCAGGCCGGCCCTCTGGCTAACATCAGCTGCTCTCCTAGGCGGGCTGCAGGGTAGCTGTGACCTTCTTCCTTTATTTCCTGGCCACCAACTACTACTGGATTCTGGTGGAGGGGCTGTACCTGCATAGTCTCATCTTCATGGCCTTCTTCTCAGAGAAGAAGTACCTGTGGGGCTTCACAGTCTTCGGCTGGGGTATGCAGGCGCGGCGGGCAGCGTGGCAAAGGCAAGGGTGGGACCACAGGCAGCAGGGTCAAAGGGGCTACTAAGAGTGAGGTGTCCACACAGCATATCCCGGCCTGGACCTGGAGCCGCCAGTGCGTGATCTGCCCACCCCTTTTCTGACTCTAACCCTATCCCAGGTTCAGGCAACAGGCCTTGGCCAGAGGTCTGGGTGTATCTGGAGTGAGTGCTCAGCCTGGGGTTGGGGCTCACCTGGAGGCAGATTCACCTGGCGTGGAGGCTTAAACCCAGGAGAGGGAGGGGGTGCTCTCAGGCCAAGATTCAGCTCAGCATCAGAGTGGGATGGTGGGTCAGAGGCCATCCTAGGGCTGGATTTGAGATCTGGGATGCTCCCTCCACCCCAAGCACTGTTTCCCTACCAATCTCCACACCACGTGGAGCTGTCCACACCACTGCCACCTTGCCTATGGGATCCATGACCCAGAGCCCCAGACCGGACTCTTGGCCTCATCTGGGGCTTCAGCAGCCCCTCTGCCGAATGGGCTGCTGGGGCTCTGCACTCCTCCCCCATGGGCTCTGGGATTGAGTTACTGATAATTGTCCATTATTGTTGGCAGCACCAGAGCTTGGCTGGGCTCCGGGGCAACTGGCCAGACTGCAGAGGGGTAGGCCCGGTGGCTGAAGCCCTCCCTGCACTCGGCACCCAGAAGCTCTCAGGTCAACAGCCACAGCCCCTTGGCACATACTCTGACCTTGACTTTAGCCATGGCAAGCCCCAGAGTTGGGGCTCTGGTCCCTGGAACTGACCTGGGCTCTGGGGCTAGAGGGTGTCAGGGTTGGGCAGGAAACACACAGACTGCGAGCATACAGAACTGAGGGACACAAGAATGTCACAGCTCTTTTGCCCACCGTAAACCCAGGTCACACCTTGCCCCTCCCGAGGGTGCACCTGACCTAGAATGAGGTGTGAGGGGGTGGAGGGCGGGAACCCGGGCTCCTGTCTAGAGTCAGGGCTCATTCAGAGGTACCGTACATGTGCCATCTGAGCTGACTCAGGCCTGGGAACACCAGGGTTCCCCTGTGGCCTTTACTCAGCCTGGATGACAACTGTCACTCCATCCAGCCTCATCCCTGGTGGGGAGGAGGTGGCTAGGACCTTTCATACTGAGTGTGTGTGTTGGGGGCAGGGCGGTGCTGGGACAGAAAACTGCTGGTACTAGGCCCCTTCCCCCCAGGGACTCTCAGCCCAGAGCCTAAAGGCAAGGAGGGAATGGTCTGGGCATGGGGAAGTTAGCAACGCCCTATTTTGCCACGCACCCGACAGGTCTGCATGTGTGGGTAGGAGATGCAGAGCCAAGATGAGGGCAGAGGGCTGAACTGGGTCCTGAGTGCTAGAGTCCTGGGAGGAGGCTATTGGGGAGGCAGAGCAGCACATGTCAGTGTGTGGCTCCATCACCAGGCGCCTGTGGGCCCGGGGTGAGGAGGGTCATGGAGGATGAGAGGAATGGGCCGGGCAGGGTGTGCCGAGGGGAGAGATGCGGTAGGCAGTGCCCACGGTCCCTCACGCACCGTCCCTATGTGCCCACAGGTCTGCCCGCTGTCTTCGTGGCTGTGTGGGTCAGCGTGAGAGCCACCCTGGCCAACACCGGGTAGGTCCAGGTGGAGAAGGGGCCCGGGATACCCCCCGGGACCCCCTTGGTCTGTGCAGTGTGTAAGGGGGCTCCCTGTACCCTGGCCCTGAGTGGGCCCCGCTACCATTTTCTGTCTGGCTTTGAGCCCGGTCCTCTCTCAGGGTCACAAGAGGCTGCTTCAAAAGAAGTGTCTGAGGGCAGCCTCAGGCTCTGTCATACCCAACAGCGCCCTGTCCTTTGTCCCTAACAGCTGCCTGCAGAGCAGACCACTCTGGGGCCACTCTGGGGCGGGGGGTGGCGCAGGGTGGGAACAGGGGTGGGAGCTGATGCCTCGGCCTCCCCCAGGTGCTGGGACTTGAGCTCTGGGAACAAGAAGTGGATCATCCAGGTGCCCATCCTGGCCTCTATTGTGGTGAGCGGGGCTGGCAACGGGGCCGGGTGGGGGCGTGCGCTACAGGCGCCGCCAAGGCTGGAGCCACAGGCCTGAGAAGCACCCGACCCCCGCCCTGGCCCAGATGGGGAAGACAAGGGTCCTCTTGGAGACGCAGCAGCAGCGCAGCGCCTTGGCAGGGCCATGGGCCCCAGGGTGTTCGCCCCCACCCTGCCAGGGCGCAGCTCGAGACGCAGCCCTGCCTCACTCCCACAGCTCAACTTCATCTTGTTCATCAACATCGTCCGGGTGCTCGCCACCAAGCTGCGGGAGACCAATGCCGGCCGGTGTGACACGCGGCAGCAGTACCGGTGAGCTGTGCCCGGGGGCATCACGCCCCAGTGCCCGTAGGAAAACAAAGACAGAGGCCCCAGGAATGAGCCCGTGTCTGGGAAGGACTCAGCTCCTGACTCCCTGGCTGGCCCCACCCTGAGCAGTAATGGGATTTCTCTGGGGCCATCCCAGAGCCAACCTAAGCCATTAAGTGCTAGGCCCTGCCCTAGAGCAGGGTCTGCGAGGGGGCAGGGGGTGGGGACAAACCCAGACCTCCCCTCAAAAAGCTGATTGTAGGGAGTACGAGGGACAGGTGGGCAGTGGGTGGCTTTGAGAGGGTGGTGGCTCAGCTGAAATTCTAGGCGCCTAGAGCTTGGGGCTGGCAGGTGCAGGTGGCACAGTGCCTACCCAGGGGAAGTGGCTTGTCCCTGAGCTGCCTGCCCTGCTGGCCCAGGAAGCTGCTCAAATCCACACTGGTGCTCATGCCGCTCTTTGGCGTCCACTACATCGTCTTCATGGCCACGCCGTACACCGAGGTCTCAGGGACGCTCTGGCAAGTCCAGATGCACTACGAGATGCTCTTCAACTCCTTCCAGGTGCGCAGCCCTGGCCAAGGCCTGGCTGAGGGTGGGAAGGGGGCGCAGGGCAGGGGTGGCCACTCCCACGCTCTCCAGATGCAGCCTCTGGGCCCTGACCCCACGCACGTCTTTCCACAGGGATTTTTTGTCGCCATCATATACTGTTTCTGCAATGGTGAGGTAAGCAGGGTGGCAGGAGGGGGGCAGCGTTGGGGCCAGGCAAGGGGGACACAGAAGTGCCAGGGGTCCCCCAAGCCTTATTCCTCCATTCTTCCACCCAATTCCTCTGTTCCTCCAAGACATCCCCAAGGAGATTCTGAAGGCAGAGAGTCTTTCCAGATGATTCAGGCTCAAGATGAGCTAGGATTTGCCGGCTCCTCAATCTCTGGCAAGGGCAGTGTCTTCCCAACCCCAGGGCTGAATTCCCCGTAATTCAAATTGAAGGACTCAGCCACCCCGGGGCCATTGGAGCCTTGTAGCTTCTGGGTGTGTCTGTTGCCTGCAGCCAGGCACCACTTCTGAGGATGCAGGGGTTTTACTTGGCCTTGGGATTTTCCAGGAACACCCCACACCTCTGGTTCCATTCGGGGCTGAGCGTAGGGGCAGGGACAAGGGCACGGCTGGGGCTGGGGGCACACATGGCAGGAGGAGGGGTTAGCCGCCACCCTGACGGTCCGCCCTCCCGCGGCCCTTGCAGGTACAGGCCGAGATCAAGAAATCCTGGAGCCGCTGGACACTGGCCTTGGACTTCAAGCGCAAGGCCCGAAGTGGGAGCAGCAGTTACAGCTACGGCCCGATGGTGTCTCACACGAGCGTGACCAACGTAGGCCCCCGCGCGGGACTTGGCCTGCCCCTCAGCCCCCGCCTGCTGCCCGCCGCTGCCGCCACCACCACCACCGCCACCACCAACGGCCACCCCCCGATCCCGGGCCACACCAAGCCAGGGGCCCCGACCCTCCCGGCCACACCACCTGCCACGGCAGCTCCCAAGGACGATGGGTTCCTCAACGGCTCCTGCTCGGGGCTGGACGAGGAGGCCTCCGCGCCAGAGCGGCCTCCCGCCCTGCTGCAGGAGGAGTGGGAGACGGTCATGTGATCGGGGACCTGTGCCAGGGTTGGACTCGTGGACATAAGGGCCGACAGACGGACCAAGAGACAGGCGGTTGGACAGTTGCCCACTCAGGGCTGGGGCTGGGAAGACAAAACAGGAAAAAAAAAAAAACGAAAAAAAAAAAAAAGAAAGAAAAGGGAAAAGGAAGCGGTGTGTAGCTTCCTGTGGTCTGAACTGGGGCTCGGGAGGGGAGGGGTGGAAGCCATGGAGAAGTTCCTGGATTTCACCTCTGAAGGGCCTCCAGGGGCCACGGGCCAGTTGGAGGGGTCGGTGGGGCACACAGTCCAGCAGGAAGGACCTGGGAGAGGCCTAGAGTGGCCCGAGTTTGCGGGGGTCCCCCAGGGGCCCAGTGGAGCCATGCAGGAGCCAGGCCGCAGCCTTTCCCCACCACACGCTGCCACCTAGGCTGCTTTTGCTGAGACCCAGGCCTCCGGGTCGGGTGGGGTGGGGGAACCCGGGTTCCTCTAGGCCATCTCGTCCCCTTTTGCCCTGTCACTGTTCACTAGCAGCCAACGGCAGATCTCTGGGTCCCTGGCCCTGCTCCAAGCCCCTTCCTGCCTGTCTGGTGGCCATGCTGAGCCCCTTGGGGGCTGGGACACTCAGGGAGCTCTGCACACATGATCCCCAGCCCCCACCCTGGATTTGACACACCTCTGGCGACCAGACTGAGAGTGTGCCAAGGCCATCAAGTGAGCTGTGGGCTGTGAGGGAGCCTGGGGTCAGCCCACAGGTCCGGCTGGGGTGAGGGCCTGCAGGACTCAGTACATCCACTCACCGTGGATCTCAGGCTGTCACTAAGCATCCTTATCTAACACCCGCCTGCTAGGTTACTTGCCCCTGTGACCTCTGCCCAGTCCAGGCTTGGGCTCTAGAATGGCACAGGCCCTCCTCGCCTGATACTGAGAACTGACCCAAGTGCCTCTCCACCCCATGCTCTGAGCAGAACAAGCTTCTTTCTCAAGTCTGCAGACAGCCTCGCCTCTGGGCCTTACGGGCTAGTTCCCCCAGCTGGCCCCCCTACCCTCTTCAGCGCAAAGGGTTTTGGACTCAGCATCTGGAAAGCGCTCCCCATCTCCAACAGCACTCCCACCCCTGGGGAGGGGGGAGGGGTCACGGGGCCAGGACCACAGACTCACTTAGCAGCGGGGTGGCACAGACACTCTGAGCAGCCTCAGGCTGAGGATAGCGGGGAAGGCAAAGGATTGCCCAAAGGCCTGGAGCACCCATGAGCGCTATGTGGTGGGATGTGCTTGGAATGCTGCCAGCGAAGGGCCAGGACCCAAAGGGCCCCTGAGGCAGTTTAAGCATCGAGGACTGCTGTGAATGCTGGGAGCTGTTGGAGATCATACAGGGAGAGCAAGGAGCCCTGAGCCACGTTTAGAAGAGCCCCTGCCCCATTGGAGAGGCCAGAGGAGGTCACTCAGAGCTCAGGGGTGAGGGAGCCTTCTGGGAGGCAGGTAGCAGGGAGGAGCCTGCATGAGGCATTGGCGGACAGAGGAGACCTGAGCAGGACAGGCCCCCATCCCCTTCCTAGGGGTGTCTGCATCATGTCCCTCTTCAGGGCTCCAAGCTACAGGACCCCTGGGCCTTCTGGCAAACTCATCCCACCTACCCCACACGTAGTCGCTGAGGCCTCTCTAGCTGGCTGGGCCCCAGGGCCCTATTTTCCATCCCAGACTCCTCCTTGGGAGGCTTCTGAAGTCGAGTCCATGAGGCCCGCTCACCCTGAAACACACCCTAGGGTACCCCTAGGACAGGCCTGTGTCTTCCCCCTCAGACTGGGTGCCCCCCAGACCTCTGAAGACCCTTGGAAGGAATGTACCCTCTTGGTACATTCCCTCTTGGGGGGCCCTGGAACACAAGGCCAGGCCCCAAGCTTGGGTGAGACCATAGCTTCCAGTCTGAATTGAACCTCTCCTCTCAGACTGGATTTCTTTTAAGACAAGGTTTAGCCTCCATCCCAGGACAGGGCTGTGCTCACCCCTCACGAATGGGTGTTCCTCCAGGACAGGGCTGTTCTCCTCAGACTACATACCCCCCAGGACAGGGCCAGGCCTTCCCCTTTAGACTGGGAACCATTTCTGGGATGTCCAGGACAGGACTCGACCTTACACCAGCCCAAGGCCCTGGGCCAGGACCCTCCTGCTAACTTAGACCTGGAGCCCTTAGGCCAGGGCCAGCCTTCCCACTCAGAGGCCCCTGAGCAGCGCCTGGGCCATCCAGGTGTTGGCAGAGGAAGTAGGAGCCCTCAGTGGGCCTGGCACGCAGTCAGGACCCTGTTTGCCTTGAGCAGGGGCTGGAGCCAGGTGGTCATTTCTCCCTTCAAGGCCTCCCAGCCCAGCCAAGCCACAGGGAACACGTAAACACCGGCCGAGCTGGGAGTGGGCAGGCAGGGGGAGGACACTGAGAGACCCCAGCTCCTCAGCCATCTTGGCCACGGTGTCTGGCACCTCGGGGGCTGCCCTGAACTCCAAGCTGGGCCAGTAAGGCAGACCTCAGCTCCCACCTGTCTTGGGCATGTGAATAGGCGCTGCCCTTTCTGGCCTGTCTTTCCTCAGCCCAGACTAGGAGAGGGACCTGTGAAGATCCTTGGAAGGAATGTACCCTCTTGGGGGCACCAAGCCTGGGTGAGACCATAACTCCCTGCTCAGGATGGGGCCTAGGGGGTCAGGGGTGTCAGAGAGATGGCTCAGCCCACCCTCAACCTGCAAGCCTGTTGAGAATAAGCATGGAGTCGAGCCCCACACGCCCACCCAGAGTGGCAGGCTGTGACACCCGCACGCCCTTCTGACCTCACCCTGGGAAGCTGGGACGGAACAGAGTAGGGGAAGGGGAAGTTCAGAAGGGACACGACCCTGCCCTAGGGGGTCTTAAGGGGACACAGCCCTGTGCTGATGGCGTGTGAGGGGCCATGACCCTGCCCGGGGGTCTGAGAGGGTCCTGGCTCTGCCTTGCTGTTAGAAGAGGTCTGGCTGTGGGGGTCCGTCAGAGGGGCTGGAGCAGTGGGGCTTGCTGCGCAGCCCCGGCACACAGGCTGGGTTGGGTCCAGCTGCTTGTCCCTCATGCTTCCTCAGCCAATTCCAGGAGAATGATCCCAGCCTAAGGCTACCACAGCCAACTGAAACAAGCCTTGGCTGGGGCAGAAGAGCCTCCTCTTGGGCAGAGGAGGGGACTCCAGAGCCAGGCAGGGGCCTGGACCCTGGCTGGCTCCCAGTGTGTGCTGTGTGATCCTGGGCAAGCAGCCTCCCCTCTCTGAGCCTCGGCTTCTCTTCTGAGGTCAGGCCCCTGTCCAGGTCTCTTGGTCAGTGTGGGCTTGGTACCCCATCCTGCTCCTTAGCGACCCCTAGGACACAAGACCAGGGGACAGATCCCTTCCTTCTTCAGTATCACAGTCATGCTGGCTGTGGGGGCCAAGAGGTGGTGGGTGCTGACTGTGCAGCTCCTGCCTGTCCAAGAGCTGGGGTGAGGAAGGGGGCCGGGGTCTGGGAGGCAGAAGAGTCAGAAAAGCAGATTCCAACCTTTCATTCTGGCCTCAGCTTTCCAAATCTGTGGGTGAGGAGAGGGGAGGTGGCTGCATTAATTGTGCACCTACTGTTCAGCCTCCCTGCCCCCGCAGCAGTTTTGATGGGGGGTCTAGAGGCTTCCATCCCCCTGAAGGCATCCCCCTGAAGGCTTCCTATCAGAGTTCTCTGACAGAACCAGGAGTGCCTTGGGGAGCTCTGCAGACGAGCAGCCCCCATGGGCTCCTGCTGGCTTTGCTTCCCAAAGGGGAGGAGGTGGGAACCAGGCCAGACAGGGAGGATGGGGGCATGGGAGGGCGGGCTCCTGGCCACCCCAAGCTCCGAGCTCCGGCACCTGTGGCTGCAAACTCTGCAGGTCCTGGCACAGAGGCCCGTCGTCCGCTCCTCCCACTCTGCACAGCTGTGCTCTCCTGGCCGCCCAAGGTAGCTGGTCCGTCCCAGGGACCCTCTCCCCAGTAGGTCAGGAGACAGCCTCGATGTAAACCATGCTCTGGCCCTGCCCAGAGACCACACGGGCAGGCTTTGTGCCCCACCAAGCTCACCCACATCAATGACACAGACGGATGTGTCATGGGGCTCTTATGTGTGTATAGATTTGTGTGTCTATTTATTTGTATTAGTGTATGTTTGTGTCTGTGTATTTATTTGTATTTATGTATGTATATTTATATGTGTGTGTTCATATATGTGTCTAGCTATGTGTCTGTTGTGTCTATCTGTACTGTGTCAGTTGCTGGCTCTTTTTTTTCTTTAGATTTTATTTATTTATTCATGAGAGATACACAGAGAGAGGCAGAGACATAGGCAGAGGGAGAAGCAGGCTCCCTGCAGGGAGCCTGATGCAGATCTCAATCCCAGGACCCCGGGGATCACAACCTGAGCCGAAGGCAGATGCTCAATCATTGAGCCACCCAGGTGCCCGGTGGTTCTATCTGTATATATATACATATATATATCTGTGTCTGCTTTGCGTGTGTATATGTCCATTTGCATGTCTATTTGTGTGACCGTATTGTGTATCAGTGTGTCTATTTGCATTTGTTTGTATGTATGTCTGTGTATACGTGTGTGTCTATTTGTGTGTGTGTGTGTGTCTGTGTGGACCTGTGGTCTGAGAACGCCGCCTGTGGGTGGAATTTGGCCCAGGGACATGTTTGGTTTGGCCATCACAGTATTTTCAACATCTTGAGCCAACATTTAAAAATCAGGATATTTCACATAAAAATTCAGCTTTCCAGTTTCTCTTAAAAATTCAGAAGCCCTGGCAGCCTTGGCCTGCGTTCCCATGAGGCTGCTCTCCTCTAGAGCTGCACAGGGGCTGCCCATCCTCCCACCCCCTCACCACTTAGCTCGCCTACCAGCACCTTGGGGATGATTGAGTTTGTGACCTCAGGGTGTGTGGTCAAAACCGAGTGCAAGCCTAGCTGTCAGGGAGCATGTGCATGAACAGTCTGCACTGGGGGGTGTGTACATGTAAATGCATATGTGCATGGGAGCCAATCTGTGTGAACAGGGTGCATATGTGTGAATGCATGTGTGTGCTTTAGGCAAACGTGAGTGCGTGGGGGACGTGTGGGTGCCTGCACATGCAGGTGTGGGTATGCGTGTGAGAATGCATGCATGTGCCCGT